CCCCCGACCACCACCACCACCCACCCACACACACACACACACACACGCACGCAGGCACACACACACACACACAAATACACACACATATCCATTGGTATAGTGTAGAGAGACATTCCTTGTTTTATTGGTACATAGTCTTTTCTTTTCGCTAAATGTGTTTCGTGTTGAACTGCCCGCCTTACAGATACCATAAACCTGCTAGTCTAAGATGACAGGTAGGACTAGGAACGGATGATTCATTGTCTTAATATAAAAACATTGTTTAAGTAGGTTAACGAGGCAGACCCAGCTAATGATAACGAGGTAAAACCCACATTACAGTATATATAGCCTTAAGGCCGGCGTGACATGGTTGTCCAGGTGATCATTAATTGTAACACCGCGTTACACAACAGACAATAGTTTTTTTTCAAAAAAGACAGATATGTGAGATGAACGCAGCATGTGATTGATTGCACCTTTGAAATGTGGTAGATACAGAATGCAAAAATTAATTACTATATCATACAGCTGTTTCGTCCTTCTAGGAATAATCGGTATGCTAGTGATAGTATCATCATCATCATCGTCGTCGTCGTTGTATATATCTGATGTAAAACAAAATCTTGCCTTTCAGTGGCGGATCCAGAGGGGTTTTTTGGGCTTCAGGAAACCCCCCCACCCCGAGAATTTTCTTTAAAAATCATGTATTTTCACCATTTTCCTCAATTTTTCCCCAGATGGAACCCCCCCCAGGAAATTTGGAAACCCCCCCGGATAGGTCTCTGGATCCGCCACTGCCTTAATATTATTTTATTTTTTGTTAAATATGATTATTTTTTCTCACATCAGAAATTCTTTTTTATTCGGTCTATGTTTGATGTCCTCGTCTCTTGACCATCTTAAATAATCGGAGTACAAAGAGAAAAAAAAACACGACATTAACTGAACAGGTCAAATAGAGAAAAACAAGCTATCTACAGGTGAACGTACTTGTGTGTGTGTTTATTATGTTCGGTACTACGTAGTTTGTGGGAATGACCAAGCATTCTAGTAACCACGGTGTCATTAATGATCGATCGTGACACAGTAAGGTCAAAGGTGAAGGTGTTTATTGGAAACACCGGTCTACAATGCTGACGTGTAGACTAGCTATATAGCTACCGGCCCCTGGGTTAACCGGCGGTACTTTCCGTAATCGAGAAAAATACTAGTAATCAATCGGGAACCGTCGGTATTTTCTCGTTTACGGAAAGTGCCGACGGTTCCCGATTGTACTAGTAATAGTATTTTCTCGTTTACGGAAAGTGCCGATGGTTCCCGATTGGCATTTTACTACTATATTGACTCCCCCTAGTTTGAGAAATTAGAGTCTAGAATAAGAGTTTGATTGTTTCTAGAGAAAGAGACGACGGTCCACAGTCTACAGTGACATGGTACGCCTTGATTATCCTTCTGTATACCTTCGTAAGAAGTAGAATAAGGAAGTACATAGTTTTGAAATATATAGTAAGAAGATGAAGGATCTAAAAACAACTGTACATTTTAACCGCTCTATGTCATCATTTCGTGTGTAATGAATACCAAAAGAATACAGCAAACGAAGGAAGGTTCCTATAAAACTCATTATGACGTCATGAATTTAAACAATCGGCTACAATAGATGATTTATAGTTAACGTAGTCATTAATGAAAACTAGACAAGACTTACTTCCATCATCATCAGTATTAACCTTTTATGTACCATTTCTTAGATGTTTTTTCATTGTCTAGCTTATATAAATATATGTGTTATAAATGAGAAACTTACATGAGTTTCCATTTCATATGAGATTTATGAAACGAGTCTTGAATTTTTCAATTAAGCGAGCCTCTGGCGAGCTAAAATGAATCATTCGTGACGAGTTTCATAAATTTCACAGGAATTGAAAATGAGTGTAAGATCATTTTTATCACATAATCAAGATTTGTGGCATTTATTCGTGTAAATGTATAAGGCCGCCATTTTGACTTCAGTGCGTAAGTCCGTGACGTTATGTACTTGTCCTTGGCGAGACGTCACAATTGAAACAATTGAAACTTACAACCAATCAAAGGGCTGATAGGCCATATTACATGGGTTAATACGGAAAAAGATATGACATGGATATATTCACTGGATAACACAGTACGTTATGTGATAAAAATGTATATGATTATTGGTACGGAAACATTCTAGCTTGTTTACATCTATACTAGAAATATCAACAGTTTACGAGAGAGGTTACACAAAAATTGTAGAAGAAGTATGTGTGATATTGATATCACTTGTTTTAAAAGAGCTAGAAACCGAGTGAATAAAATTTAAAAAAAGCATGCAGGAGAATCATTTTATGCTAATATAGACAGTCTTATTGATAGTTATGTAGTATCAGATCCTAAATCATATTGGAAACTGTTGAGGCGGTTAATTAAATCAGGCGGCAAATCTAACGAAATTCCATTATTAGTTGATCCACAAAATGGTAGTATTGTATATGATGATTTTGAAAAGGCTGAGACTTTAAAAAAATATTTTTCTTCTATCTCAGACTTGGATGTCAGTGATGCTAGAGTTCCTTCCCTTGATCATAGAACTAATTCTTCCTTGGCTTCCATTCAATTAAACCATTCGGAAATAAAAGACGTTTTGGAAGTATTTAAAATTAGGTAAAGCTCCTGGTACAGATGGTATTAGTCACCATTTGTTACGACACACTGCAAAAACTGTATGTTAACATCTTCAAATATTATTTAATGTTTCATTGTCTAAATGTATATACCCGACGTTGTGGAAACAAGCTATAGCAATGCCCTTGTACAAAAAAAAATATGATAAACATTTACCTTCAACAGACCTATATCTTTACTATCAGCTGTAGGAAAAGTTTTTGAACGAGTAATTGTCAAACATATTCATAACTACTTTTTTGAAAACTCACTATTTTATTCAAGACAATCTGGATTTATGTCTAATCATTCCAATGTGCATCATCTAATCGAAATCTATCATAATATCTGTTTAAATCTGGAGGAAAAGAAACATACTTGTATTATTTTTTGTGACATATCAAAGCCTTTTGATAGGGTTTGGCATGAGGGTCTGATTGAAAAGCTTAAATCTTATGGTATTATCACAGGAAATTTCTTGAAGTGGTTAATTAAATATTTACAGCCCGACAACAAAACGTTTTAATTGGTGAACCAATTTCGAAAAGTCAGTTATTAAAAGCTGGATTACCTCAAGGCTCGGTGTTAGGCCCGCTTTTATTTCTAATCTATATCAATGATATTTCCGAAAATTTAATTAGCGTATCTAGACTTTTTGCTGATGATATTTCGTTAATATTTGGTTCTAACAACTGCAACGAAATTGAACGAGTAATGAATCATGATCTTCAATGTATAAATGCACGGTCCAAGCAATGGCTAGTTACATTTAATTCTAATAAAACAGATGTTCTATTTAACTCAAATATTTGAAAACAAAATCAAGATCTGGAGCTATTGTTTGGCGACAGCATTTTAATTTTTTTCTGAAAACCATAAGCATTTAGGGGTAACTTTCAGTGCAAATGCTAAATGGGGTGATCATGTTGAAAATATTTATAAAAGTGCTTCAAAACGGATAAATGCTTTAAGACAATTAAAATTTCTGGTGAATAGGAAATTTCTTAATAAAATATATACATCTTTCATTCTACCTATAATGGAATATGCTTGTGAACTCTGGAGTGGTTTATCTAAATTCCATTTTGATTTGTTAGAAAAACTTCAACTGGAAGCTGCTAGAGTAGTCACTGGGTTGCCAGTATATGCAAGTTCTCAATCTTTATATTTTGAAACGGGGTGGGACACTTTGAATATCATAAGAGAACGAGAAAAGCTAACTTTATTTTACAAAATGCACAATAAACTAACACCTTCATATCTTTATACATTACTTCCATGTTTAGTATGTGATAAAACTCCATATGAAGGGATTAAGCCTCTAATAAACTGATGAAGGGATTAAGCCTCTAATGAACTGATGATAGGTCTAAGCCTCCGATAAATTGATGAATGGAGTAAGCCTCTTATCAACTGATGTACCAACAATTCCACGTATAAACTCATGAAGAAATTAAGCCTCTAATGAACTAATGAAGGGATTAAGTCTCTGATAAACTGATGATGGGATTAAGCCTCTTATAACCTGATGAAGGGATGAAGCCTCTAATGAACTAATGAAGGGATTATGCCTCTAATGAACTTATGAAGGAATTAAGCCTCTAATGAACTAATAACGGGATTAAGCCGCTAATGAACTAATAACGGGATTAAGCCTCTAAGGAAATGATGAAGGGATTAAGCCACTAATGAACTGATAAAGGGATTGAGCCTGTGAAGAACTGATGATAGGTCTAAGCCTCCGATAAATTGATGAATGGAGTAAGCCTCTTATAACCTGATGAAGGGATGAAGCCTCAAATGAACTGATAAAGGGATTGAGCCTCTAATGAACTGATGAAGGGAATAAGTCTCTGATAAACTGATGATGGGATTAAGCCTCTTATAAAATGATGAAGGGATGAAGCCTCTAATGAACTAATAACTGGATTAAGCCTCTAATGAACTGATGAAGGGTTTAAGTCTCTGATAACCTGGTGAAGGGATTAAGCCTCTTATAAAATGATGAAGGGATGAAGCCTCTAATGAACTAATAACGGGATTAAGCCTCTAATGACATGATGAAGGGATTAAGCCACTAATGAACTGATGAAGGGAATAAGTCTCTGATAAACTGATGAAAGGATTATTGGTCTTATAAACTGATGAAGATATTAAGCCTCTAATGAACTGACGAAGGGATTAAGCCTCTAATCAACTGATGAAGGGATTACGCCTATTATAAACTGATGAAGAAAGTAAGCCTCTAATGAACTGACGAAGGGATTAAGCCTCTAAGAAACTGATGAAGGGATTAAACCTCTTATAAACTGATGAAGATATTAAGCCTCTAATGAACTAATAAAGGGATTAAGCCTCTAATGACATGATGAAGGGATTAAGCCACTAATGAACTGATGAAGGGAATAAGTCTCTGATAAACTGATGATGGGATTAAGCCTCTTATAAACTGGTGAAGGGAATAAGCCTCTTATAAACTGATGAAAGGATTATTCCTCTTATAAACTGATAAAGAAATTAAGCCTCTAATGAACTAATAACGGGATTAAGCCTCTTATGAAATGATGAAGGGATTAAGCCTGTAATGAACTGATAAAGGGATTGAGCCTGTAATGAACTGATGATAGGTGTAAGCCTCTGATAAATTGATGAATGGAGTAAGCCTCTTATAAACTGACGCAAAGATTAACCCTCTGATGAAGGGATTAAGCCGCTAATGAACTAATAACGGGATTAAGCCGCTAATGAACTAATAACGGGATTAAGCCGCTAATGAACTAATAACGGGATTAAGCCTCTAATGACATGATGAAGGGATTAAGCCACTAATGAACTGATGAAGGGAATAAGTCTCTGATAAACTGATGATGGGATTAAGCCTCTTATAAAATGATGAAGGGATGAAGCCTCTAATGAACTAATAACGGGATTAAGCCGCTAATGAACTAATAACGGGATTAAGCCGCTAATGAACTAATAACGGGATTAAGCCTCTAATGACATGATGAAGGGATTAAGCCACTAATGAACTGATGAAGGGAATAAGTCTCTGATAAACTGATGAAAGGATTATTGGTCTTATAAACTGATGAAGAAAGTAAGCCTCTAATGAACTGACGAAGGGATTAAGTCTCTAATAAACTCATGAAGGGATTAAACCTCTTATAAACTGATGAAGGGATGAAGCCTCTAATGAACTAATGAAGGGATTATGCCTCTAATGAACTTATGAGGGAATTAAGCCTCTTATAAACTAATGAATGGAGTAAGCCTCTTATAACCTGATGAAGGGATGAAGCCTCTAATGAACTAATAACGGGATTAAGCCTCTTATGAAATGATGAAGGGATTAAGCCACTAATGAACTGATAAAGGGATTGAGCCTCTAATGAACTGATGATAGGTGTAAGCCTCTGATAAATTGATGAATGGAGTAAGCCTCTTATAAACTGATGAAGGGATGAAGCCTCTAATGAACTAATAACGGGATTAAGCCTCTAAGGAAATGATGAAGGGATTAAGCCACTAATGAACTGATAAAGGGATTGAGCCTCTAATGAACTGATGAAGGGATTAAGCCCCTAATGAACTAATAAAGGGATTAAGCCTCTAATCAACTGATGAAGGGATTAAGCTTCTTATAAACTAATGAATGGAGTAAGCCTCTTATAAACTGACGCAAAGATTAACCCTCTGATGAAGGGATTAAGCCTGTAATGAACTGATAAAGGGATTGAGCCTCTAATGAACTGATGAAGGGATTAAGTCTCTGTTAAACTGATGAAGGGATTAAGCCTCTAATGAACTGACGAAGGGATTAAGTCTCTAATAAACTGATGAAGGGATTAAACCTCTTATAAACTGATGAAGGGATGAAGCCTCAAATGAACTGATAAAGGGATTGAGCCTCTAATGAACTGATGATAGGTCTAAGCCTCTGATAAATTGATGAATGGAGTAAGCCTCTTATAAACTGATGAAAGGATTAACCCTCTGATGAAGGGATTAAGCCTCTAATAAACTGATGAAGGGATTAAGCCTCTGATAAACTGATGAAGAGAGATAGCGCCATATTTAGCTAACATAAGCCACTCTAAAGCACTTTACAGTACATGGATATACAATTAATACAATTAGGATATACATTTTTTGAGGAATTCGCAGGAGCTGCCTTATCAGGAGCTAACTACTAGTCCTATGCCACCTGGCTAATATCTCCCTATGTGTGTATGCCTGCATGTGTGCTGGAGATGTATTGTCTTCATTCATTTATTTCGTTTTATTATTATCATTTTTCTTTATTAATCATCTTTATTTTCTTAAGTTGCGCAAGATATGGTGTTCTTTACAGAAGTAGTTTATCAGAGCTGTAGGCATGAAGGGAAAAAACACTTCTGTATCATAATGTGTAAATCTATTTAGTGGCAATGTTATGGGAATCCTCAGCTAAGTGTAGTGTCCAGCTGCATTAATGCGTTCACTTATGTTGAAATAATAAAGATTGTTTGTTGTTTTTGCCACAGGTTCAGCGAACATAACATATACGAGGAAGATAAAATGGAAAACTGAAATCCAGAAGTCCGGAAGGAATCTTTCGAAAACTACTGCGTGTGCTTAACTAAGAAACAAGAACTAAATTCGAAGACAAAATGTCGGAAACAGAATCCAAAATGGATGACGAAGAAAATAAAAGATGTCGATGTTCTAGGAATATTGTTACTTTCACGTTATCATACGGGTTCTCGTCCATGGTAACTAGTGCATTATCGATATACATGTCCTCACAGATCACCACGCTGGAGAGACAGTTCGACCTCAGCAGTGGAGAGAGTGGGATCATCCTCAGCTGTAATGATATCGGGTTTCTGCTTACCGTCCTACTGTTCGGCCACTTTGGACCAAGGTATTGTTAGACTTTAACAGTCTTTTTAAATCAAACATTTTCATTTATTGTATCTATCACGATACTAATAAAAGAGGCAAATCACACATTAATATTGAAAAAAAAAATATCAGCAATTATTAAACAAGATTTTCCCCCAAGTAAAATTAATCACTCTTGCTGGCCCGGATGGTAGTGCATAGTGCGTGTTAATGTGGAAGGAAATCGGAACACCCCTAGAAAATACATGTGATAGGGAAGGTTTCCTCATACCTTCCTGATAAAAGGCGAGTGCGCCAGCCACTGAACCACTCGGCCTCCATACACATCAAGCATCTTGTATATGACTTCCTTTCCTTTCATTTCTTCAAACCTTTAATTCATTTTATTTTGTCAAAGTTGTAAAGAGTTTAAATAAAAAAGTCAACCTTATAAGCCAACAAGGTATGTTAGTTAATATCAAAGAAATGTCCACATATACCTTATCGAATGTGGCATTTGAGGATTGTACATTTAGTCATTTACCATAACGAAGGCGATAGCTTGGGATATTGAAATATTGAAATCAAAACAATAAATCTTACTGACATTCTTAGTAATAATTTCAAATCTTAACACGAACATATCGCAGCCTCCAAAAATACACAAGCATACACTACACGCATGCATCTTGCACACAGGGAAGGCCGTCCTTAAATGACCTTAGCCGTCAATAGGACGTTAAACAAAATAAAACCAAACCAAACCAAATTATCCAAGGCTTCAAGGCTGCAAATGAACATGACGAACTGTGCAAAAGAACTTACTGAATTTCCAAAGTGCTTATTTATTTATTTATTTATTTATCTATTTATTTATTCACAGATTCCATATCCCGCGACTTCTGTCCATGGCTGTTATACTTTACGGGATATCCGGTCTATTGTGTAGCTTGCCTCAGTTCATCTCTGGTTTTAGTCTACAATTAAGTGATGGTAGTCCCTTAAATTCATCAGAGGATAGTTCTAAAGTTAGTTTGTGCCGGCTGGAAGGGAATCAGACGACCAAATCGTGCAGCGCCGAGGAGACACAAAAAGCCGAGAGTGTGAAGTGGGTGGTTGTGTACATAGGAATCTGTCTGGGGATACAAGGTGTAGGCAAATCCCCTCGGTCGTCTCTTGGGACACTTTTTATTGACAACAACACAGACAAAGTGAAGACGGGACTGTATCTTGGTACGTAAACAGAGACATATGTAAAATAAAATGAAAAATATTTTAATGGTCTCAAAAGCCAACACTTTTTCAAAGTTGGCGCAATGAATGCCAGTTTTCATTTCATGAAAAAAATAGTTTTCATTGATTTTGTTGCCTTGTCAGTACACCGTGTTGACGTCACCCTTTGACGACGTGACATTACTTGGACTTGACCTTGATATACATTGTATGTATCGACGATCAAACAGAAGACGCTTATCATTCCGAAACACCTGGTCTTATTCTCATTGTATCTTCCTATTGTTCATCTTTCGCTCTAGTTTTCTAATGTTTAAGCTGGAATGACAGATTCCCTCACACTTACGTATTCTCTTGTTATGCAGTGGAAGAGGTTGTCGCAGAATAAATTACAATACGTTTATACAAAGACGTTAGAAAACACTGCGTGCCTAAAATATCCTTAGTGGCAGTTTAGAACGCTATATAAAACATGCATTACTATAAGCTGGACATAAATGTATACGTAAACAACCAGATCAATTGCAAAACGAAATGCTCAGCCAATAAATTATTCATATAAAGATAGATAAAATCATACTCACAAGTTACACTTGGAACTTAACATATATTAAGATTTCCTTGTCATGTAAGCCACGCAGAGGTCAGTGTATAATTGACCCTGTTTTATCCTGTCTAGACAACGAACTAATATTAAGGATCCCCGTACCGCTGCCACAAATGTGTAAATATACACACAAAAAAACTTCTTCCGACATATAAAGCCGAGAGTGTAAGGGGGGAGTAAGTATGTTTTCCGCTGTTCATACTTGCATAAACTGTGGAAAAATCCAGATGCAATCCCTTAATGCAAAACAAATTGTAATGGCATTCTCAAATGTTTTGTTTCAATGGTACAACTTCATATAAAAATTAAGGATCCCTGTTCCTTGTAAAAAGTGTCTCTGCATATGTACTAGCATTTCTTATATATGATGTATTACTATGATGATTTTAATCCAGGGACATGGCTTAATTTCATTTCAAAATCATGAAGATATCAACAATACTAAAATCACTTCATGATCCCGTACCACTGTCAAAAACTGTAACTACACATTGAAAACTAACTGTATGACTGAAGATTTGGTAAATCATTTTTGTAAAGTAAACCATACATTGCGAGACTTTTTATGAAAAAATAACGATGAAATATCCAAATATGATAATAAAAATAGTTCGAGGTTCTTATATACCGCTTTATCACAACTTACTTTGCCAATATCTTTCTCAACTCCCTGGGGACCATGCAGCCAGTGCTGCCATTTCCGCGCACACAGCTAGCATTCAACACTCCTAGCACTGCCCAACCACTTACTAATTTACAGCTAAGTAGACTGGAGCAAGCGGAGTAAAGTATCACGTTCAAAGATATAACACAGTGCCGTAACGGGACTCGAACCCTCAACCCTTCCACTAGACTACCGTGCCTCCTGGTAGCAGCAACAATGGTCTGTGTGTTTCCATTAATCAGGGATAGTGTTACAGTTATATACGTTTATAAAATTAAGTAAGGTAACTGTATATATACGAATGACCACAGTGCAGTAGGAAAAGGATCCTTAAACTTATCATTGCACTAATGATACTAGTTCCAACTTATTCCTTCAGTTTTCATAGTCACGTGCATAACATTTCAACTGGCATCAATTTGGACGTGACATATAGTTCACAACAAGACAGTATGTATATTAACAAGTTGAATGACATGTCCTAAGTCAGTGGTCTAGGGTAAAGGTCAATTGAGACGCGTTGTTTGTCCAGAAAACAATAACTAGTTATAGAAAGTTGTACTTCTAGTGCAAAGGTACAGATTTTTTGCAATGGCTAAGTTAAGTAATAGCACTAATATATTTTACTTGTCTTATTTTACTGTTCCATAATAACTAAACTAAGGCTAAATCGTGCTTACACTTACATATTATAAGCTATTTGTACATCACGTGATCATGTCTTGGAAAATGATAAGTGAACTACCAGTTTTGTTTTGCATAAGTAAGTGGCAAGCGGATGTCACATCTGTGTATGAACATGATAGAAAGCCGAGTTACTTACTTTTAGTTACGTGATTATTCTCTTGGCAAAATTAATATCGTAAAAGGTAAAAATATCTCGACACAATTCCAACGTCATTGCGACATATATATAGATTTAATCGACATCTTCTCAGATTTTGTCGACATCTTTTAAAGATAATTGTCGACATAGTTAACTCGTAAGTAGAAAAGTCGATGGCAGAAAATATGCCACCATAAATGCAAGGCCGTTGTTTTGATTTTAAACAACATAACAGATCATTTCGTCATTTACAAAAGACCCATGCAAACAAAGCAAACAACGAGCCTGACGTACAAATTTATGAGTAAATTTGGTTTAATATTTGATAAATATCACATTCAGTTTATTGCAAAGTAGACAATGCTGTCATCACCTTTAAGTTTCTTACTCCTGATTGATTTCCCATAACTTGACCTAAATTGGTTCATCTTGATGTCTAACTTGCCGTTTTTTATTCACATTTGTTTAGGAATTTCGATTGCCATGGGAATGATGGGGCCTTTCGTTGCTTTGATGCTTGGAGGCCTGTTCGGGAAAATTCCAGTGGACTTGAAATGTAAGACTCTATATTGGCAGCTAATTCATGAATTTATTTTGAGAGAAGGATTAATTACAATGAAATAAAAATGATTTACGCAAAGGAAATACACGCTATAAATTCTATACAAAAAAAAATACACAAAAAAAAATCATTTATGTACCTAGAATTTAATACATGTATTTGATATAATTATTAACTTTTCATTAAGTAAATACCAATATATATCTTTACGAGAATAAACATTTGTACAGAACATCGTCAATGTTCTTTTTTTTAATTAAGTGTAAAATCTATGAAAAAAAGCATTAGTTAAAATTGTTTCATTTCATCTTTATTTATTTGAAGTTTACTTTTTAATAAGTGTTCTTTCAGATATCGCTGGCCTCAACGTCCCATATTGATTTAACAAACACACTTGAAAAGTTATGTATATATCTAGTTGTGGCCTTTAATCCTTAGATACAACAATGACACCAGAGGATTCCCGATGGATAGGTGCTTGGTGGCTTGGTTTTCTTCTGTTCGGAGCACTTTCAATTCTAGCAGCAATACCACTCGCGACGTTTCCAAGAAGCTTAGCATTGGCTCCAAGTGATAATGAAAGTCCAACAAAACAAATCGAAAACAAAAATAAAGAGACTTGCTGTGACATGATAAAATGTAAGTTTATTTTTTGTAAGATATGCTTTGTTCGGAAGTAGCTTTATTATTTTAAGTCGATCAGGCAATCAGGCAATAGACCGAAAATACCATAACACGTCATAGCGCACGCGGGGCATTTAAACACGGCCCCTGAATGGTCAATATCAAATACAATGCATAGTTAACAAAACAAACTCTCTTTTTTTTTGTAAATCACATAATAAATTAGTCTATTGATATTTGACCAATTGCCAAAGTGCACTCTTTATATAATGTGCAAAGCGGTTTTATGATGAATGTACTTTGGCGATATCTAGTAATATTAACTGTATGAATGATTGGCAAATTTTCAAGGCCTCTTATTCGCGCACCTCAGACAGAGATATCCGACGTCATACCCCATGCTAGATTTGTCTATCTCGTCCGATCTGTCTTGTACCTTTATGTGACATTTCGCGGAATTTTTACACTGCGATGTATTCATCCGCGCATTAACTGCTTAAAATTGACAATTTGCATTATAAATGTTCTATTTTGTCGATATATGTATAGTTTTGATGTTGTTAGATATTTGATGTTGTAGGTTAAATATAATCTACACTGTGAAATACGTTGAAATCTATGTAAGGACGGACTACATTTTTACGCGGAAGCTTTCAAATGTAGCTTTAGTAGTGAAGAGATCATTATCATTTGAGGCCCGAGGCGGGATACTTGTAGTTTTTAGAAAAATTGAATAGTTCTTTTCGAACTAAAAGGTGCGAGAAAAAAATCAATTACCTGTAACTGAGCGAGATCGGGTTATCTCAGTTTCGGGCTAAGATTCTGTAACATCCCAACCCCGGCTTACGCATCGGTTGGGATTTTGTTACAGAATCTTAACCCTCGACTGAGATTACCCGATCTCGCTCAGTTACAGGTAAAAGACTTTTATTATTATGATATACCTCGGGCAAAGACAGTTATTTACAGTATAATAATTCTAGGTGTCAAGTGAATTGGTCAGTTTGTTAACCTAAAACCAATCAAATTCATGTAGCTTACCGCGTGCCTTCGGTTTTGTCATGACATACTCAAGGGGTGCAGAGAACGTAAATCAGCATGGATAAAATCTCCCGTGCTGTGAATAAAAAATTACAAACAGCAGTATTTGGAGGGTTCTGCGCCAAGTTATGGAATAGTTTACCATCAGCTATCAGGCAGTCAAAAACCCTGTCTACATTCAAGAGGGATATAAAGCACCACCTCTTCACGTCTGCATTTTAGGCTCCCTGAACAGAAATAATATACACGCAACGTGTATACCCTTTGAAAATTAATTGATGGGCATAACGAGATTGTTGTTTTGTACGCCTTTTTATCTACTTTATCTATAACCGTCACTGTAGAAATAGTTATATCTACGTGTTGTTACGCGCCTTAGGGTTCTATTACAAATAATATAGGGCGCTATATAAATGTTGTATATTATTATTATCACTATCCCTATTCATTTGCAGCCCTACCAAGAGGTTTATACAAGGTAGTTCGATGTGCCGTATTCGATATTTGCCTAGCCGCCATATTGTGTTTGCTGTTTGGGGCGATGGGAAATACCATATTTGGACCAAAATACATAGAGAATCAGTTCAACGTCCCGACTTGGAAAGCAAATGTCATCTTAGGTAAGGACAGCGCAGAAATAACTAGTGTCCATAGATGTCTTAAAATGCTTTCAATCTTTTTCGAGAGATAATTTTAGATTCGTATTATCCCCCTTTAAATCCGACATTCGGTGTGGAAAAATAACATTAAGTAGATAACCGTTCTTAATTTGAATTTTGAGTTGCGGCCTGATTGGTCCGCGATTACTCGAACAATTTTACGGAAAGACCCGAACAGTTTTCGAATGGAATGTATTCATGCGTAATCGTTTTGCTGTTTTCGGTAGGTTGTTATACTTGTTATTGTTTTCCTTTTATAGGAGTTGAAAAGTTAGGAACAGGTATATTTGGAGTGTTTCTTGGAGGGTACCTAACATCACGTCTGCGCATGAGCAGACGGCAGTGCCTGAAGATGGTTATCATCCTCAGCTTCCTGACAACGGCGTTATCTAGCCTTGAGTTTATTTTTGGTTGTGAAAACCCACCCATTGGAGGAGTAGGCGGAATAGCTGTGTGAGTATAACTTGATGTAAACTGTACCTAAAAGTTTAACACTATACCAGTACCATTATTACTATTGTAAAATAAATGTTTAGTATTATCCATTAAAATGCAAAAACAAAGTTGCTACTCATTTTACAGAATAATAATTGTTAGATGTTTTAAATGTTTGAAAATAGATATAAAAACCAGACATTGCAAGACCTGCATTTCACATATGGTGTAAGCAAGAAATTTCAAATGCGCTGCATCCATATGAGTCTTATAGAACTGTTATATCATTATCGTAACTTTCAAAACGTTCTGTCCGTTGCTTCGATATCGGAGAAATGCAAATCTCAGTTTAAGAATATATGTTTGAAGTTTCTCTGCAATTATGTTACACATAATTTTTTTGTTGCATATAAATCAATTCTCGTTTCGAAAATTAATGTAACAAAAAAATAGGCCGATAACATTAAAGGAGGTTTCCTGACATTGATTTGAAAATGAAATTATTCAGAATTAAGATCACATTCAAAGTACTAAGAAATGACGACATCTTATGGCAAGACAATTGCCGTAATACTTTTTGTCTAAGATAGCAAATATGACACTCAGTGTGTCGTATTTGTATTGTACTTTTCAAAGTTAACAGTTGAACTAAATTCATTCACCTTGTATTCATCGGGAAATGTTGCTTGCATTGGCAGATATATAAAGGTGTTTGGATGAAAGATACAACCATCAACTCTTTCTACGCAAGGACAGATTATTATGCAATACTGATCATGTTAAATCTTATACTTACGAGCTGATTCCTGGTTAACTTCCGGTAATTTACAATCTATTGTTGGTATTGTCCATAATCCAGGTGTACCCAAACAAAATGTCATCACAAAAAATCCATGTCATTAAGAGCTTCACTGCGAAGGTAACCACCAATATATCAGATCGCAATCATAAAGAAAACTGATGTGGTAGCATAAACTACCAAGGGCAGACGCCAAGGACAGACGACGCGCGCGTATTTCCACATTCTACACGTGATATTCACACAATCAGGGCCTGTTGTTTTATGCGGAACAACCGGTTTGTTTGTTTGTAAATGTAGAATTATCGGGTACAAATCCTGGCGGACCTGCAAAGGTTTATGCAGGCCTTGCAACAGAAAACGGCATTACTGGGTCCGACTTTATTTCCTAAACGAACACCACTTGTCCAACCGGTTCCACATTTTCGATCGCGATAAATGAAAGCGGGCCCTGGTGAATGTGCCCACGTTTTTCACGCGGGTAGCGGTCGAGTGTTTGGAGGAAATAGGCTTCCAGGTGAACGGATGGGCTTTTTACGTCAGAAATTATTATAATTGGTATATTTGATTCTGATATGTTCCCTATTTCATAGGTTGTCCTGAACTACATACTGATAATTATTTCTTACGAGATTTACTCGCGACGTTGTTTGCTAATGGTGATACTGGTAATGTTAATAGTAGCAATATATTAATATAAACCTACTCATGTATGAAAGAAATTGAAGAGAGTAAACATTTACACAGTTAATATCATTTATTCTGCATATAAAAGGCGAACTTTTGTAATGTGTAAAGAAGGAAATGTTGATATTGTGAAGGTTGTTTTTTTAAATTCGCTTTCAACCGATTGGTAACCTAGGTTTTTACATGCTTCATCTTCTTCTTCCAATAATCTGCATACCACCTTTGGTGTATTTTCGCAGATGTGGGTCAAGTGTTTCCATCAAGGAGAATGATTATTGATAGGACGTTAGGCATTTTTGCCAAATATTCACCAAGAATTACGGTGACATTTTTGTTAACAGGATTTTGGTGTCTTAATTCTTGAAATAATTACATGTGTGTGTGTTTGCTAGTGTTCCTTCTTGAATACATGCTGTGATATTAGTAAACATGTAAAACAAATACTAGTAAGCTTTGCTGGTCTTTTTTTATATTTTTTACATTTCTTTTTTTTTTGTGTGTGTGAAAAATGCGTAAGAGATTTTTTTTTTTTTTGTAAAAGATTTATCTAAGCTGTAGTCATGCCGGAGAAAAAGTTTCCGACCCATAGATACAGTGTTTGGTAGTGTTACGGGGATTCTCAAGTTATTAACAATCTTTTTTAACATTCAGCCAAAATGTACAACGGAAGAATACGATAACAGGATTTGACATGTTTAGCCAGATTACACGTATGATGTAAAAGAGTGTTTTTGTTTCAGTCCGGCGTCCGTGCAGAGCTGTCAATGTGAGGGCGTACCATACGAGGCGGTGTGCGGGTCGGACGGACAGACATTCATCACACCCTGTCATGCTGGCTGTCACAACGTCACCGAAAATGTAAGCTCTACATTTAAGGAAACTGTACCAGGCCTACACATTAATGCTCTCATACAATTCTCCAGTGAAACTTGTCCAGACAATAGAGTAGAATATATAGACTGTAGAAATCAATCTGTCCGTTAATTGTTGTTGTTTACAGTTTCGCATTTGAACCTAAAAGCTGTTTACGTTTTTGGTTTTTTTCTTCTCCACCTTGCACTATAAAAATTTGAAAGTTTTTTAACCTTAAAACCCATCGTGTTGTGGACATTTTCGCATTTTGAACTTATTTTTTTACATTGTAGAAATGTTTGCGTTTTGAATCACACAACAACCATTAGCATTGTTCAAAATTTCGCATTTAACTTAAAACACTATTTGTAATGTGGAAATGCTTGCATTTCTTTTTTAATTTTAAATCCATTCGCTTTGTGGATGTTTTCGCGTTTTCTACTTTGAAATTATTTGCGTTGTCCAAACTTTCACATTTTGAACATATAAACTGTTCGCATTCCTTAAATTAATTTTCGCGATTCGGATTTTTTTTAAATCATTTGCGCTGTGGAATTGTTTGTACTGACATAAGAATTGCAATAAGCAGTGTAAATGTATAGTATGTCGGTAGATTAGCATCTACAAAAAGTGCACATATTTATGCAGAGTAGTAAAATAAAGAACATGTATTATAATGATTCTTTATATTTTGGAAACACTCTTCTTTGCGTTTGCGTCTTTTTGCCTAATATGTCGCCATTGTTGACTTTCTCTTAGGTATACAGCGACTGTAGGTTTGTGTCAGGTGACCAGACGGCACGGCCTGGTATCTGTGACAGTGGATGTCAGTTTCTCATTCCGTATGTCGCCGTTTCCATGGTTTCAACACTTATTGCTACGATGAGCATCATGCCAATATATCTTGTGTTCCTCAGGTAAGTAAGCATTTTGAGACTACAAGTTCATTCATTAATTCATTCTTTATTAACCAAAAGCCCTTATGCTTAAAGGTACAGCCATATATGCATAAAACATTATCTGTCACAGGAGAGTGACATCACAGTATACATAAAAACACCGTTCAATAATGTGCATATAACGATACTTAATTAACAATTACAGTTATGAAACACCACAATACATAAACCTATTATTGATGCCTCTAAAAAGGCAAATATAAATATTCACCAAAATTGGTAGCTCTCTAATATTATTCATACTTAGTAGTTGAGTAATTTAAAAATGGAGGGTTTTCTGTAAAAGTATTGTTTGATTAATCTGTGACTCAAATCGCTATAAAATGGACGAATCAAAATAAAATGGAACTCGTCTTCGATATCTTTCAAATGACATTTGGTACAAATTCTGTTTCTGCGTATGATATGACGATGGCTTCTAATTTCTATATTTAATTCATGAGACGATATCCTAAATTAAGTTAACATTTGTTTGTATTCAATCACTGACCAGCTTTCTTTCTTGTGGTATCATTATCACAATAAGACCATTGCTGTAGCGACTTGTGACGCTATTTTCGTGGCAGTCATTTCATTATATTGGCGGTAAGGCCATACCGAATTGAAAAGTGGTTATTGTAAGTTCTTTTTAATTTTAAATCGGGAGCGAGGTTTTTTGGGTTTTTTTTTTCTTATTTTCATTTTAATTTTTTTGGAGCGAGCGATATAAATATATGAATATGCTCATGTAGCCTAAAAATTGTTTACATACAGATTTCCATAGCAGGCTAAAATAAATGCTGAACTTCCAAAACTTATATCTTTTTCTGATTCTCTACTCATACTTTAAAATGCAACAAAAGTATTATGAAGATAATAGTAATGGAATAATTCATAATCCAGTTCTGAATAGAATCGAATATCACAGTCAGGATTTTAATAAATCTAACACAGTTTTCAATATGTATATATGAATGCTTTGTTTTTCAGGTCGGTCCCTGACGACAGTCGAGCATTAGCGTTGAGCATTATGTCGGCAATGGTCGCCTTACTTGGTAAGAATAGCAAGAAATTAACAAATGCTTAGTTTGTTTTGAGCACAAACAGTTATTAAAATCTGTTCTTAAAACAAAGCATTTATGATTCATACCAAACTGATACAAACTTCATACAAAATAATATATACTTAATTGATGTAGATTGATAATTTACCCTTTGGCATAAAACAACCCGTCACGTGTTCATGAAACCCTTCGCATGCTCAGACTCCGAATCAATTTGGATTTCAACCTTTTTTTGCCCCCAGCAACATCTACCAGGTGCAGTGTAAATTCATTTTGGCATAATGTATCTATGGTTTGGTTTAATTTTGTTTAACGTCCTATAAACAGCTAAGATCATTTAATGACGTGCCTCCTTGTGTGTAGTGTGTGTAGTGTATGCGTGCTTGCGTGTAAGGATGCAGGAGACCGGGTATGTTTAACTACTTGCCTCCTTGTGATAGCGCGGATCTGATGCCGACTTAATAGTGCTATCTCACTGAAATGCCATGCCGAAGGCACCAAGCAGAGCATTCCGCCCGGTCACATTCGCCATTCCCCTAAATTCTGAACGTAAAGCAGGGCATAACAACTACCATTTTTAAGGACTTTGGTAGGCCCTGCTTGGGACAGAACCCATTGCCTTCCTCACCTGGGCGAACGTTCAACAGTCAATCCAAAAGTGAGGTGTTGCCAAGCAATGCGCTAGGAAATAAAAGATAGTTAGAAGTAGAAAGAAAAATAAAGAATCCAAATATTGCAATGGGCACAGCAGATTTATTTTGGTCGCTTTTGTGTCCCCAAATAGAGGACACAAAAGCAAATCCCCAATTATGCAGGGTGTTCATCATTAGTCGCCTCCTACGATGCAAACAGTGGGTAACAGCAGGTGTATTCTTTTCCCGATCGTCCACCTGCAGGGGTGATAATGTACGTGCGTGTTTCGTCATCAGTAAACAAGTATGGGTTATTAATATGTCCTTCTGTCTGATCTGTTTCAGTATTCATTCCTACTCCTATTGTATTTGGAAAAATCTACGACAGCACTTGCCTTCTTTGGAAGTATACATGTGGAGTACGAGGAGCTTGTGGGCTTTACGACATTGTGGACATGCGCTACCGATTAATCGCACTTGACGTCGGCTGTCGCGGCTGCGCACTCGTTCTCTACATGGTGGCTTTATGTGTTGCAGTGAGTCAGGATAAAGATCAAGACACTGATGATGGCAATGAAGTAGTTGATATCGGCTTGAAACCCATCTAAGCTACATAAACTGTCCCTTATTTTTACATTATTTTTCTGTAAATGGTTCATAATTATTTAAATACGTCGTCATCATTTTCAGAACATATTAACACATGATTTCGCAGTAAAAGTAACAGAAAGAAATCCGCATAAGCATTGGTGCCGTCACACAAATTTGTCTCGTTTGGGGAAAATTTGCATATCCCCGCCCACATATGTAGTAGTTGACGTCATGGAAACGTGTCACGTTCTGTGGTAATAAGTCACAGATTACAGGAACAGTGGTTAAGGAGTGATAGCTAGTGTAGACTACATCACACACAGGGTCTTACGAATCTGTTACAACTATATTTGGACCTAAACTAAGGTGTTCAGAGTACCAACTTTCGGTACAAATACAAATACCATCCCCGTTTATCTCGAAGTGGGGAGGGGGTTGGCATTTTTACCGAAGGTCAATCTTAACACTTAAAACATATAAAATTACACTGAAGACTTATAATTTATTTTCAAATATAGCTGTAACAAATGCTCGTGTTCTTGTGGACTGTATGTACATAAATAATATGTTTTTTGCTTAATCGCTATATGCATTCTATCGTAATCCAATGTACGTGCAAAGTACTGTATATGAAATATTGGATATGTGGAATTTATACGAGATTGATGACACCGGGTTTAAATTTTTGCCTGATAAATCATCGAAATCTCGCTAACGTTCCATAAAATGTCATGTGAAATTGATAAAGACGTTTCCATGGTTTCATACGCGCAAAATGAGTTGAGCCAGAATGCTTTGTTGTTTTTATGATAATCATAAATAATGGCAAAAATCTTCCATTTGAAATCAGTTCCATTCCACATCCCCTACCCCAACGCAAAATACAGATTACATGTGTAGGTGATCCATGTTGTTTTCGATTTGTAGCTGGGGTTGACACAATCTAATTAAAACAATATCTTCAGGATGTCAATGCACAAAAAGTATAGTAGTATGCCTGAGTAACATGTTTTAACAGTATCGGATGTAAAACTACAGGCGACCATTATTAATACATAAGCCTTAATCTTATATTAAGTGTCCTTTCGTAACATTCAATGTTGTTACAGAAAAGCCAAACTTGTTATAAACATTATCGCACTTTTCAGTTTCAATGTTTATAACATATCTAGCGCATTTATAACATCGCAGAATGCTATGAAATGGCACATCCTGTGAAGTTCATTTATAGATTGATTTAGGTAACTTAAAATATATCACCAGGGAATTTCACTGTGGTTTTAGTAGTTTCTTGTGATAAGATGTATCTTGATTTAAGACTGGTATGCCTCTCCTTAGCTAGTAAAAGAGAAATTGACCTCCGTGTGACCTATAGGCATATGAATAAACTTAAGATAATATGTCATTTCATAGCGTTTAGTTGCGTCGCTAAAGAGAGATTGACATGTTATAAGTCTGGAAAACTATTTTTACGAAGACATTAGCCTTACTGTCTAAGTATTGACTACATTAACATCGCTATGGAATCTTTTGATAACTAACGTACAAGTACAATGCATTATATTTCAATTTCTACTCAAGTTGGACTCGATGCAACTACCAAATGTTACCTGTGTCATTTGCCGATGAATTTGACCAGATTAACATTGCCTGTGCGTGTGAATCACGAAGGGAGATAACTATTGGCATTTTTAAACAAAATATATATATAAGAAATTGTTCAAACAACCAAAAAACGATCAATCAGCAAAATATTATCATGCAGCTGTTGCTAGCGGTAGTGACAAGTCATGCCCATCCCCGATACCACAGGGGTTACGCTCACCTACGCTCTCTACACCCTTGGAATATGTCATAGCAAAATTGAAGGCACAAAGACAACTGTTTGATTGGTAAAAAGAATCTGACCAATCGCTAGGCTGATACCTGTCCTTTGAAGACGCCCGGCTTCAAAGCTTGTCAATGTTTACCGTTACGTGACTGCGAGATTCTTTTGATGCATATCAAAGGATCAAACTAGTCTTATCGTCTCATCCACAAGGTGGCGCACACTAAGCCATCAATTTTGCTATGACATATTCAAGGGTTGCAGAGAGCGTGAGTGAGCGTGAGTGAGCTTAACCCCTGGATATCGAGGTTGGCATTGCCATAACCACAATCATCTTGTTTTGAGACCAGCATGCCTCTCTACAGCTTATAATAAAGAAATTCAGCTCCGCATGATCGCCGTATGTATAAGAATTTGAGATAATATGTCATTCCGTAGCATTTAGTTCGGTTGCAAAAGAAACTGACATGTTAAATATATTATAGGAGACACGGTAGTTTAGTGGTAGGACGCCGGGCTCGTTAACGAAGGGTTGCGGGTTCGAGTCGCTGCACGGCACTGTGTTGCATCTTTGAGCAAGATACCTTACTCCGCTTGTTCCAGTCTACTCAGCTGTAAATGAGTACATGGTTGGGCAGTGCTAGAATTGAAGAATGCTACCTGTGAGCGCCGAAATGACAGCACCAGCTGTATGCTCCCCAGTGAATTGAGAAAGATATTGGCTGGTTGCAAAGGCCCTATAACCACGGATAATAATTTGTGAACCGCTTTGAGACGACCTACGAACTAGGTTGTGATAAAGAGATATATATGAGACTCGAATTATCATTATTATTATTACAAGTAAGGTGAACTATTTTTTTATGGAAAAACGATTTTACCTTAATGGCATGCCGTATAACTAACTACGTTTACCTCTCTATGGAACATTTAATAACTAATGGACAAGTTCAGTATATTTAATAACATATATATGAATTCCGATTTTCAATTGGGTTCTTTGAATATGACTAATTAGGGGGTGAAAGTTAAGAGCGACTGTAGCCTCTTTCAGGGGGCTTGTTGAACATTAAGAACTTATCACCTTTCTTAATAGATATATTTCTTGTTGTATTTTCGTGTCGTCATTTCCGTATTGTGTATCGGTCATTTCGTATTGTAAATTACAGTAACAATTGGGTAATCAATAGTCCACGTAGTGACGATGATATGTCAGCACCCGATATAGAAACGTTACTATATATAATGAATGTAAGACAAATGCTACCTGCAATATGATCACAGGCAATTCAGAAATAAAGCTCCAGATACAAAAAAATATATTGTCTCACGGGAAGACAACTGACAGGAGACCTGGGCCTGTATTCATGAAACCGTTCTCAATTCAAATTTCTTGTTCCAGTTATAAAATATTAAAAAAAAATAATGTTAAAGTTTTGGACAAAAATTGAAGAAATTAGAAGCCGAATACTGTTTTCAATATTTAAATTTGACTTTTTGATGGTTGACATGATTTAGGTGGTTTACAAAAAAAGTGGCTTGAGCACAGAATCCATGCTTGAGCATGAGAACGGTTTCATGAATACGGGCCCAGGCCTTAAATCTTTACTTAGCCAATCACGTATGACGTCACTTTTCATGACGTTATTTGTGATTGGCTACAGCTGTAAGTCCAAACTGAAGACAAATTTAGACTTAAGATCGTTTCATGATCATAGGCACAGATGACTTCGAGAAGTCATTATCATGATATATGAAGCGTATGAAATGCGGACAGATTTGTTTGGTGTACCGGCTTCCCGTGTGCATATCACGTGCTTACACCATTTCACGAGGTTGATACGATTTTTGCTGTCGCGCGACCTACAATGGAATTGAACCGCCTCTCTGAAAAAAATGATATAAAAAATGTCAAGATCCCTATCAAAATACATGTGTGGGTGCACGTGAGAACGGCATACCATGCGATAGCCTTTGGTTTCATGTACCTGTGCCGGACATGTATGTATACCATGCGCAAGAGGACTGTGGAAAGGTGTCATTTTCGTACAGGATTGAGAGTAATTTGGTTCGATAAAAGAATGAATTGTTTTAAATGTTGTTTTGTTTTACTGTTGTTATGTAATGATTATATACATTGAATGCCACTGTACAAAAAGAAAAAGAATTTGGATCATCAGGAAAGTCATCCTCGATACTCGAGTGGTAACTCTCACATTAACGCTCTCTGCACTCATAGAATATGTCATAGCAAAATTGTGGGATCAGTTTGCGACACCTTGCAATTGTGGAATGAGACAAGACGACTAGTCTGATCATTTGATGTTCCTCAAAAGAATCTCGCGGTCGCGTCACGGTAAAATTGACAGACTTTGAAGTCGAGTGTCGCTCCTCTGTAATCTTTAAAGGAGTCGGGTCAGATTTTTTCACCTGCGACCATAGCTAGTCGCGTGCCTTCAATTTTTATGTGACAATTTCCAGGGGTGCAAAGAACAGACGTGAGCGTAACCCCTGGAGTATAGAAGATTTAGGAAAGTATGAGTGAAGAACTCTGCAGGCATGCACAATACTTGTATTTGTTAAATTCTTTTTCACCTTATACGTACAATAAAATCAATGTAACAATTTTGATGTGAAAAGGACTAGGGCGTTAAGGTTCATTTCCGGCCTCATCGGGAATTTTGAATTAGTTGTTATATTCCTAATCTGGAATATCAACATTCGACAACTGGTTTAGGAAATATAGCATTTCAAAGAGAGACATCAACTTGCATTTCATAACAAGAGATCCATGGGCCTGAACGGTCACCCGAGTCCTACAGTATTTATTTTTGTTGTTGAAATATGTACCAATTTGAGTAAAAAATAGTTAAAGTATACCGTTAATTTAAGTTTGTCAGGACCATGAGCTGATTATTCCTAGACCGAGTTTCAGTTAAATCGGCCCAGCAGAACTTGTTTTTAAGTTTGAAATAGTTATTTTCAAAATAGCGGCCGTGGCAACCAAATTGTATTTCTGATTGACCCGAAAAAGAACATCACTTTGGCAGGACCATGAGTCGATCATTCCTACCAAGTTTCAGTTCAATCGGCCCAGCAGAACTTGTTTTTAAGTTTGAAATAGTTATTTTCAAAATGGCGGCCGTGGCGGCTATATTGGATTTCTGATTGACCCGAAAAATAACAACACTTGTNGATTTCTGATCGACCCGAAAAATAACAACACTTGTTCAGGGAGATGAAATGAAATATTAATAAAATCCCTTTGCCAGTATTTCAGCTTAAGTTGAAAATGTAAAATGTTAATGGACGACGGATGACGGACGACGCACGACGACGATAGCAATAGGAAATGCGTGAATATCGTCTGTTGTGCGCTATTTGGTCGGAAATTGGTCATTTTGAAGGAAATTAATAAGACACTTTTAAATTTTTGAAAGACTCTGCATGCACAAAAACAAAGTTATATTTGACATGCTTAAACATTGTCACATCGGTGTTCATTCGTTGAAAGGAATTTTTGTTTGTCACATGCAGAGGCTTTTATTTCTACATGTTAACTGTCCGAAAACACCATTTTTTGGCTATTTCTGCATAGCAAAGCAATTTCGTTGCTATGGTCTTTGCTATGGTAGGGTATCTACGCATGCGCATTGGAAAAAAATATGCACCAAGAAATATAGCCCCAATTAACAAATATGATGCTTATAACAGAAATTGGTAAATAAATTAAAGTTGATTTTTTCCCTTTTTTTGAGGTCAAAAATGGCCCATAAAGCCCCAAGTCCTTTAATTACACCAGTTTTGATGTATATAAAGGGAGATAACTATCCCGCTGCAAAAAGTTCTGGTTTTTTTCATGGAAGACAAAAATGGAACTCTCATCCAAAAATAATAATTTTAAAATGAGAACAAGAGGCCCAATGGGCCTGCATCGCTCACCTGGTATTAATCTCACAATTGAAAAGAAGACTAAAATAAAGCTAGAGGAAAAATATCTTGACTTGTCTTGACTCAAAGTCAAAAGAACCTGTTCTAAGATTTGAACACATTTGACCCTTGTTACCTTGAAAGTCAAACAAGAATATTAATAGCCCTTCATCCCAGAATGCAACTTGACAAAATTCCCTGTTGAATCACTTCCTTTTGTTTATTGAGAAAATTACTTTTAAAGTTATTATACACAAATGACCAGATGTGAGCTTGAAAGAGTGTCAAGGTCATTTACATGAACAATTTTGATAGCTCTTCATTTGAGCATGCTACTGGTAACATATCACCATCCTTTCCATTTTAGTTTTCCAGAAAGTCATTTAAAGTGTTTTTTTGAATATTTGACCCCTGTGACCTTGAATATAGTTCAAGACCATTCTTTTGAACAAACTTTTCAAAACCTTTCATCCCAGCATGCTACTTGCTAAATGTCATCATCCTAGCTATCTGTTTGTTCAGGAGAAGTCTCTGAAGTTTTTCACATATTTGACCATTGTGACCTTAAATAGGGATGAAGGTCATTCGTTTGGACAAACTCATCGAACTAATCATTCGTGCCTGCATGCCACTAGCAAAACATCATCACCCTTGACATTTTGGTTATTTATCATAAGTCAATTAAAGGTTTTTAAAGACAATTGACCCCAGTGCCCTTGAATATAGGCAAAGGTCATTTATTTGAACATACTTGGTAACCCTTCATCCCAGCATGTTACTGGCCAAATATCATTATCCTATGCCTCTTGGTTATTCAGAAGTTGTATAAAGGTTTTAAACATATTTGACCTCTGTGATCTTGAATATAAGTAAAGGTCATTCATTTGAACAAACTTGGTAACCCTTCATCCCTGCAAATTACTGACCAAATATCATTATACTAGGCATCTTGGTTATTCGGGTCAGGTGAGCTAAAAATGGAAACACAAAGTGTTTATTTGTTTCTCAATTTTTCACTCTTTTCGTATGAAATTCTGTTCTGTTGGATTCCAGCTTGCACATAACCACTTTTATCCAAACAATTCAATAGAAATGTTGTGCTGAATAAAATATTTGTTATGTTAATAAGTAGTGTTCATCTCTTTTTTATTGCTGTTATAGTTCCATACAATGTCACACACCAAAAAAAAAGGAAAATATGAAAAAAGACGAAAACAAAATTTTGGTATTCTTTTTCTGAAAAACTTCCAAATTGATCAGAATGCTTAAATTTTCAAAAAATCACCTCAACAGAGTTGTATTACCATTATGTGAACGTTTCGAAGAATTCTGCTGGTTAATTGTGAAAGGGTGGAGCCTCCTTAAATACAATGTAATCAGACAGATTCCAACCCCCAAAGTGTCCTTCATTCAACTGCAATTTGTTTTCATTTATTTCTCAACAATCATGAAACAAAGCTATTTCTACTTATATCAGTCACTCTTTTTGACCCGGATATAAGCGTGTGGGGGTTCTTAATGTAGGAGGAAACCAACTTACCTGGAGAAAACACATGTGGTCGGGCAGGTGACCCCATACTTTCGCACATCCAATCAGGGAGTCAATCCTGGCTGCCTGAGTGAAAGGCAAGTGTGCTATCACCCTACCACTCTGATTAGGTGAGAGTTCAATTGTCCAATCCCATCATAGTCATATCCAAAACTTAATTAGGGGGAGATTACCAATAGGTTGGAAACACTACAATGCAATTACCGGTATCTAGTGTTCTTCCTTGGGTGGGACATGATTCCTTAATCATGGCATACAGTGTAATTAACCAGAAATATTATGACAAAACTAACTCATTCACCGCTGAAATTTCATAATGAACTATTCCAACCTTTGAATTGGAAAGGTTCAAATGTGTCTCCAGGGGTGAATGAGTTGTCAGTAATTATCACCCTATTACTTTTCTAAAGCAAGTGAATTTTCGAGTTGAAAAATACCTCGGCCGGTATTCATGAAATGTTTGAACTTGACCTTTCAATTGTGACATGACTTAAACAATGGGTGGCCGGGTGGCGCAGTGGAAATGGTACTTGTCTTTCACCAAAGAGGCAGGGGTTTGATTCCCCGATCTGACAAAACCTATGGAGTCATCTGGTTGAACAAATAAGTTTTCTCTGGTTTCCTTCCTCCACATTAAGACACCTTGTTTCATATTTTTTTTAAATAAATAAAGTTTATATTTATTATTCGAACAAGTTACAGAAAGCTGGGGTTAGCACAGAATCCATGCTTATACAGTTTCATTCATACAGGCCGCGGACATCAGACATTTGTGTCTTGGCAGAAAGCTCACCAAGACCTTCAGGATAAGTAAAGTAAGAACAAATCTTTAAAGACTTCAGCTTTGTGTATAAAACAAACTATACATTTAATTTGCACTTTCTTACGAAATAAGAAAATATGTACAAATAAATCACAATAGACACATAATTAATTTGAAAAATCTCTCTGATAAACTCAATATTTATCATAAATATACAAAATGTATGCCATTATCTGTATCAAGCAGAGTGAAACACTATAGCCTTGTATGCAAAAGTTTTATATGACATTTTTTCTGTGCAAATACAGCAGTCTTCTACAAAACTCTCATTCTATTTACCTGGTATCATTAATAGAAGAAATTTAGCCAAGACTCTGTAGCTTTGTAAAATTTTGTTATGTGAATATACACAAGCCTTTTACAAACAACCCAGAACAGATATCACATATCTTCATTTTAGACATAGAATACCGCAGGAAAAATGTTAATTACAAACTTGAACTAATGTTGTTGTTTTTTCCTGCAATATTAACAAATTCCTTACATTTAGTGAAAAGTTCAGCAACGAAACATATTATTTTAATTTATTTTTCAAAAATGTTACTTTCCACTGTTTTGGGCAACATTTGAGAAATATTGCAATTTATGCGAAGTTTTAAGACCTAATGTACTCTAATATAACAAAATATTACAAAAACATTTCAGAAAATAAAAAAACATCCTCTACTATATTTTGCCCATTTATCCTTTTTATTAGAGTGTACCGTAGTTTCAAATGACGGTAATTGTAAAGAAGGAATTTAAAAAAAAAATTGGCAGAGAAAAATATCACAAGTTCTATTTTCCATTACAACATATTGAAACACATAAGGTATGAAGCCTACAATTTGAAAGTTATCTATAAACCCTGACGATGGAAATAATAAATATTATGACATTGGCCGAATAGGCCACTTTAAATAGAGACTCTATTCTATGGACGTTGGTAACATTCTGTCACATCAATTTTATGCTCATCACATAATATAAATAACGTCACTGATCTCGACATAAAATGGATTGATAACTTATAGCTAGTTAGACGCGAAATGGGCAAATTCAGCAGCTCTTATTTCCACAGAGTTCATTCATTGGTCGTAGATGAACTTGAACAATCCAAACGCGCTCACCCGCCAATATGCACCTGCATAAAATGCTGTAAAAAAAAATTGAATCAAACATTCTTAGAATTTATGGATTACAATTTACAATACTTAAAACAGATTTGTATTTATGTGTTGGACTATAAAGGTAAATGTGATATTCATTTTGTTTCTGAGCTGACGCAAAATATATACAATAGAACACTTTTATGATAGCTTTCAATATTTTTACAATAACGGCAAATTCTATTC